CTCCTCCTTCCAAAGAGCTATAGTGTAAACACTTGAAGGTTTCCTTGCCTCAAGTACCACACCACGTTGAAGGATACAACTTTTGATCAAACTTCTTGATTAAAAGGGGGTAGGTCAACTTTCTTACAAGTTGATCTTGCAAGTCCTATTGTTCGGACGTTGCAGTTGTTGAAGAAGCGTGACCTTCGAAGAAACAACAAAGCCAGCACGAGTGCAGTAGCAACATTGGCCTTGCGAAGATATACCGTGCAGAAATTCACACAAGTGTAATTGTTGGTTCATTATTCAACAACCAACTACATAGTGGATTTTGAGGACGTAGAAGGATTACCCCACCTTCGAACCTCGTTAAAGTTTGCGTGTCTCTCTCCTTTATCCTTACTCTTACTTGCAATTACATTAACTGTGAAAACTAACCCATCCATATTGATTACTGCTCACTCTACCCACCAAATTCCGCACACAATCTAAAGTTCACAAGAACTCTAGATTAAAACTTATTTTCACGTTTTCAAAAGAAACGAAAAAGATTTTAAATCTGAAACAAAGTCTATTCACCCCCCCCCCCTCTAGACTTTGTATTTCACCACTTTGGGACCATCAGAGGAAACCCGAAATGGAGTTGAGAGAGGTTATGTTGAATGAGAAGAATCGCGCTGTTTATATAGGGACGGAGCCAAGGCGTCCAACTCCAAGCGTCCAACTCCAAAGACGCTTTGGGTGTCACAGCGTGATTCCTGGAGACGAAAGCGGTTGACAATGTAAAGGAACCGGACATTGAACCGGTGAACATGTGTCCGGTTCTGGTGTTAATTAATTTGGGCGGTACCGGAATTGCCGGTTTGGTACTGGTTCCGGGTAATTTTTTTTCTTTTTTTTTCCTTTGAATCTCTGACCATTCTTTTTCCTTTGCTAGAGCAAAGCATGACAGGCAACAGACCCAAACAATTATATAGTCGTTGGAGGTATGGGGGTTTAAGGGGTGGGGGAGGTTTAATCCTATAAATACTCATTCATTTTTTTAAAATATTCAAAACACAACTTTTCTATTTTCTCTCTTAATTCTCAAAATCTCTAATCTCTCTCTCAATTCTCAACATTTAAATTTATTTATTTTATATTTTTATATACTATAATCATATTTTATATATATATATATATATATATTAAATTTATATTATAATTACTAATTAATAATATATTATTAATACATTTATAAACTAAAAATATATTATAATACTAATATTTCAAATTTAGAATATTATAATATTCTAATACATTCTCTTATTGTTTGATAATATGAAAATGTTGAGGGAGTCTGGTCGAAGGCTCTAACAGAGGCAAAGGCAAAGCCCACGCCACATCCGAAGGTTCAAGCTCATGTGCTTCTCATGGGAGATACTCTATCTCGTCCTTTCCTACAATCCCTGAGCAGTTCATAGGCGACACCATGAGTGATCAAGAATCCAATCAGCTCATGAGCGGCATGGGAGGTAGGAATCACTACAAGAAAACTCCTCTATAGTGTGAGTATAAACCGTAGTTAAAACATAGAAAACCGTCATTAAAACCTTTTAATGAGAGGAAATTTACTCTCATCAACCGTCATTATAGCTTCCGTAGCTAATTACAAATAATGATGGGCTTTAGGTCCCCTTATTAAAAACTATTTAATGAGAGTACTTTTACCATCATTAAAATACTCTTTTTGTGACGGAAAATTCCGTCATATATATATATAATATATATATTTAAAATATAATATATATATATATATATATATATATATATATATATATATATTGGTTCAAATAAGAATGAGATCTAACGAAAGAAATAAGAATGGATAATAGCCCTCCGATCTCGACCTCTTGTGACTTTTCTTCTTACTTATCTTCAGGGCATTTCTGGATTTTCCTTCTCACTATCGTTATTTCCTTATCGGCTCTTATTCTTCTCCGTAAAATCAGCCCTCTTCACGTTCAACCTTTACCTTATTCAGGCATGGGATCTTCAACCAGATCTTCGGTGCTTCAATTGCGTCTTCATTCCATGAATAACCAGAAGCGACTATCGCAGGATCCCTTCAAGAATTCAGTTTCACATTCTGACGCTATCAAACAATTCATCTGATGGTTCTTCTATCTCAATCTGGTACGTTCCAAATTTATTTTTTGATTCATAAATTACATAGCATAATATATTGAATTATCCGATTTGATTCTTTCTATAATTTATTGCATATAGGGTTTATTTTTGTTGGTCAATTTGTGTGTAGTTAAAGTGGTTTGTATATGATGTTCATCTTTATGTTTTATGATTCCACCTTTTAATCCTCCGCTATAGTACTGTAGTGCATCCTTACA